TATTTCCGTTGGGATAATTTTTACTCGTCTTGTGAAGGTAGGAAACCACTGGCGTACTGGTGGATCGCAAAGGACAAACTGCCTGCTCCTGAACCGCATTAGACCGGGTCCCGTTAGATGTCCTCTTGAAAGTGTCCCTGAAAAAGGAAACCAGTCTGTGACCTATCGAAGGGCCCTTGCTGGTGAAATGAACCTGAGTAGATGGCGCAACATAGGGAGGGTAGTTTGCTTCTGCGTGAATTCGGTAATTGCTATCTCTGCAGGGTTCCCTCTCCTCGTCCAGTATAGTTGAATATATGCCTCTGAAATTTCTTGCGCGCTCCTCTGACGTTAAATCCATTTTGAAAGACTCGTTCGTCAGCTGTAGGCAATAACTAGGGCATAGAGGAAATAGACTATCTTCCAGGCTATAGTGTGGTTGATAAGAAGCGCCGTTTTTGCGCTCTGCCGTCGAGTTAGAAACCGCAGAATCAGACTTCGCGGCATCACAACAGATCGATAACTGCGCACCACACAGACACGTGCATTCGAAAGGGTGAAAGCCAAGACATTTGATTGAAGGGGCTCGGCGTGATTTCAGTTCTCAAATACCGAGTGCCTTCTGGGGCCGTTGACTTTTACGTCTTAAAATGTGCCCCGGGCAGAAACTAACTATTCACAACTATATAAGGAGGCCTTAGCGATTACTCCTAGCACAAAAACGCTTCCATTTGCATTTTTTTGCAGACCCATCACAAGCCTTCGTTAGTCTTGTTGAGTGAAGGATGATGTGCTAGCACAGGATGCAAAGATGGGCATTCATTCTTCCCACCTACAACTGTAGAGTGAAATACGTCACAGGTAGTACAAATATAGTGGTAAGCATATTGATCAGGCTCTTCATTGATGACAACTTCAGTATGGAGCACCTGCTTTTGATGTGGTCAATCATTTGGTAGGACACAGAAAAAGGAACCTCACCTATTCCGGTGGCCTTGTGTCCAGTTCGGGTTTACGTAAGGGTATCCAGGTATGGAACTCATCGAAGGGACACGCCAGGAAGTCACCAGTTATCAAGAAATTTTAAGGGTAATAAAGCTTAACCCTGACGGCTGCGATCTTCCAGGCCCGGTTCATTAGGAGACGAGAGAAGTCATGGGAAAGCCAGAGTACAAGGACGAGTATATTCTGTACAGGAGGGTTAGAGAATGGGAAGGAGGAAGTTTTGACTCTCGGAGCTCATGTCCAGCCGCAAGGTGGGCTAGGTCCGAAGTGATGTCTAGCGCCAGCTACCATGTTGAGGTCTGTCCAGACAGGTTGAGGCTAACCTTCTAGTGAAGCTAGTCTACTAATGCGGGCACGCGCCACAGCGGGTTGAGGCCAGGACGGGAGGTAAGGCGCGCACATTTGAGCCGGGTCCCAGAGGCACGATGAGTTAGCATGCCACGGACATACATGTGCGTCTAATCATGGACTCCAAGTAGCGCTAGGGGCCACTACAAGAGCTTGGTTCGGGGTTAATGTCAGAGATATAACGCGATAACATTTACCCTTCCTGGTTTTTGGCTCAATGCCGTGTGTGTAACAAGGGGTCCCTTTTCCCCTGCCCTACGAATTTCCTTTACAGAACATAGTCAGCGCACACATAACCGTCTAGTGGACATCAAAGGACCCTCCTTTCACTCAAATGAATATATTCTTGCAGTTTGGCTTACTGTCAGGAGAAAGTGTGTTTATAGGATGTGTGCCTACTGTAGGGCAATCGTGCCACCACAACAACAACCGGCCATCCTCAAAGAAATATATAATGCTCATTCTGGCATACTGAAAATGAAAGTCCACACTCCCAACTATGTTTGACGATCTAGAGTTGACGCAGATATGGGAAAAATAGGTACAAGCATGGTTCGTATGCCAAACAATATAGAATAATTTACCCAAAGTGCTTAACGCAGAGAGCGTTAGGTAAGTTAATCCGAACAACTGTAATCTTCAGACCATATTTACTTAGGAGATGAGAAGTCTTGAAAAGGCCGGAGTGTTAGTAACAGTATAGTGTGTACACAGAGGAACAGAGAACAGACGGAAGACAATTGAATTGGGAGAACACGACCAACCAGGCCCAAGTGCCAGTTTTACAGCAGTCAGGCCAGTTTAAAGAGAGAGAGCGTACATTGGCTGTGTCGGCCTTGAAGGTTTTTGACCAGACAGACAGATAATGTCGGGAACGCGTACAGGCATGCTATAAGTCGCCGTGCTAAGGACGCAGGTTTGCGGCAATT